TCCCGCCTCCAGTCCCTCCCAGTCCTTCTCCATTATCTCCCAGTGCTACCAGTCCCTCCCAGTCCCCTCCCAGTCTCCTCCCAGTTCCCTCCCATTCCTCCCAGTCCCTCCCAGTCTCCCCCAGTCCCTCCCAGTCCCGCCCCTCCCCTCCCCCTGCCGGCGCAGCTCCGATGGATCCCCGGGATCCGCTGGATCCGCCCGATCCCGGGGGGCGGGGGGGGCGCGGGGGGCGCCGCCGCTGACCCGGGGGGGTCCCGGGGGGGTCCCGGGGGGGTCCCGGTGCCCCCCAGGCCGGAGCCATGGGCGAGTGGACCATCCTGGAGCGGCTGCTGGAGGCGGCGGTGCAGCAGCACTCCACCATGATCGGCCGGTGAGCGACCCCGGATCCCCCCGAAACCCCCCCAAAACCCCCCCAAAACCCCCCCGAAACCCCCGGGTACTCCCCACATCCATCCCAAATCCATCCCCGGGATCCCAAATCCTCTCGGTTCTACCCCAAATCCACCCTGGGATCCACAAACCCATCCCAAACCTCCCCTGTTCCATCGCACATCCAACCCCAAATCCAGCCCGGGATCCCAAATCCCCCGGGTACACCCCAAAAACCACCCAAAACCACCCAAATTCACCCCAAAACCGCCCCAAAACCGCCCAAAATTCACCCCGGGATCCCAAATCCCCCGGGTACACCCCAAAACCACCCAAATTCACCCCAAAACCACCCCAAAACAACCCCAAAACCGCCCAAAATTCACCCCGGGATTCCAAATCCCCCGGGTACTCCCCAAAAACACCCAAATTCACCCCAAAACCACCCAAAATCCACCCCAAATCCAGCCCGGGATCCCAAATCCCCCGGGTACACCCCAAAACCACCCAAAATTCATCCCAAATCCCCTCCCAGCCCCCCCAGCCCGCCCCCGCCGCTGTCACCTCCCCTGGGGCAGCAGGTGACACTGGTGACACTGGGGGGACACTGGGGTGACACTGGGGTGACACTGGTGATACTGGGGTGACACTGGTGACACTGGGGTGGCACTGGGGTGACACTGGGGGTGCACCTGGGACAAATCCAGGTGGGATTTGGGGGAGGGGACAGGTGTGACCCAGGTGGCCTCAGGTGACCCCGGGGTGGCTCAGGGCCGCCCACGGGAGCACGTGACCAGTGGGGACACGTGACCAGGTGGGGGCAGGTGAGGCGGGACAGGGAAACCCGGGGGGTGCAGGGCCAGGTGAGACCCGGGGGTACAGGTGACACCCGGGGGTACAGGTGAGATCGGGGGTACAGGTGACACCCGGGGGTACAGGTGAGATCGGGGGTACAGGTGAGACCCGGGGGTACAGGTGAGATCAGGGGGTACAGGTGAGACCCGGGGGTACAGGTGAGATCAGGGGTACAGGTGAGACCTGGGGGTACAGGTGAGATCAGGGGTACAGGTGAGATCAGGGGTACAGGTGAGATCGGGGGTACAGGTGAGATCAGGGGGTACAGGTGAGATCGGGGGTACAGGTGAGATCGGGGGTACAGGTGGGCCCCACACCCAGGGGGTTTCACCTACCATTTTTCCCAGCATCCTGCTGATGGTGGTGGTGATTTATTGGATTTAATGATGATTTAATGATAATTTAATGACGATTTTATATTTTTCCAGCATCCTGCTGACGGTGGTGGTGATTTTACAATAATTTAATGATGATTTAATTGATGATTTTATATTTCCCAGCATCCTGCTGACGGTGGTGGTGATTTATTGATGATTTTTGGATTTTAATTGATGATTTTATATTTTTCCAGCATCCTGCTGACGGTGGTGGTGATTTATTGGATTTAATGATGATTTAATGATAATTTAATTGATGATTTTATATTTTTCCCAGCATCCTGCTGACGGTGGTGGTGATTTATTGATGATTTTTGGATTTTAATTGATGATTTAATTGATGATTTTATATTTTCCCAGCATCCTGCTGACGGTGGTGGTGATTTATTGATGATTTATTGAATTTAATGATGATTTAATGATGATTTAATGATAATTTAATGATGATTTAATGATTTTCCCAGCATCCTGCTGACGGTGGTGGTGATTTATTGGATTTAATGATGATTTAATGATAATTTAATGATGATTTTATATTTCCCCAGCATCCTGCTGACGGTGGTGGTGATTTTCCGCATCCTGATCGTGGCCATCGTGGGCGAGACGGTGTACGAGGACGAGCAGAGCATGTTCAT